AGAAGATTGGTTGCCTTGAATGTCATTTTGTGTCAACTGAATGACCGATCTATAGTACAGAGTTCATACAGTATACTGTAGTAGTACACCACAAAGATACGTGAGTCAAGGTCATATTTTTTAGCCCCATGCTCCCCGGTGTATTATCTGTTCTTCTATTTGTGAGGTAGTTATTATACATTTATGTGTTTTCTTAGTTGGTCAGTAACAGTTAAAAAAAAAAAAAACACTATGCCAATCACAGAGATTTGTTTTTGTCCCAGGCACTGCACTGTGTTTTACACAGTATCCTGTAATCAAACTATTTGATAGCCATCATTGCACTGCTTTTAGTTCCACCTAATGAGAACAAGTCAAATTGGTCCGTCTGGGCCGCGACAGCTGAGGGAGCACAACTTATCTTAATGAGGATCTGGCTACCCATTATCTGCTGGTAACTCGACCAACATGTTACCACCATTATCTGCCTCCCCCCATCCCTCCTCCTCCATCCTATCTCCCACCCCCTTGCTCGCTTGCACACACACACAAACACTCTCTCACCCTCTTGTTATCAGCCTGCCTTCCCCTTTAAAGCCTGCTGCAGACATAACCGCATTGGACAGTAATTGGACCTCTCGCTCCTGCCTAATTGAATTGACAAGGAGCCGGAATTTATATCATTTAACACATTGATCTTGGGAGACAATAAGATAGAATACCTTATACCCCAAAAACCTCCCCCCACCTTCAGTCTCTTTCTCCCCCACCTGTCTGCAATTTTCTCCTCTCTGATTTATCTGCTCATTCCTTTGATTTGCCATGTTATTGCCTATGAATTAGCAGATTCATTCCTCACATCTCCATCACCCCTCTGCGTTTCTTCACATTTGAACCATTGTCAATTTGATTGCATTAGTTTCAAGGGACGTGTAGAGACATGACACTTTTTAATGTGTCAGAAAATATTGATTGTCTGCGATTTCATTAGGCTCGACCGTTGCGAAAAAATAAAAGCTTTGGACATTTATTCACACATTTCTCACAAATGGCACACAATAAATATAAATAATTTGCTGGCTAAAGAAAGGACCGCATCAACCTGCTGTATTGGGCTGGGAATGCAAATACTCAACGTCTATATCCAGTCTAATTGAAACCATCCTTTAAACACTGGCTCTGTTTTATTCTCCTGGTTTCAAAGGGCCGATATAAAATTGACACACCTGAAAACGATTCGCCCGTTTGCTCAATCAGAGGTCTTTTTCTGCCATTACTGCGTTTGTGCTCAGAAATACACTGATGTCTTTTGCACTGCATTGCACCACTGAATTATACAACTTACTTGGGAAGCACCATGAAAACCGGACATGCTCCTGTACCAACATTTGCTCCACAACAATGCACCATCCAGCACATCTCCTGGGTAAACAAGTGCAGCTGTGCTGCTTTCTTCCATTACCCCCCACGGTAGATGCTCATTTTGAAGTGGCCGCTTCCTTTCCCCTACCTCTCATGAATGAGTGCACACAGGGTGCAGGAAATAATGGATGAGGACAGTGGGGACACTGTCTACAAACACCACTGGGACTTGTTTTATAGACAAACAGGACAGGCACATTTCATTGTGTGACGGTCAAAAATAAGCAATCAGCGCTGCTGTAGGGAGCGACGGTTAAATCAACATTTATGGATGTGAATAGGAGCGCATAATGTGTTGCGCAATCTAGGACTTAGGAGCTTGAACTAAATGAATGGGTTGCCTTTGTCACCTACGCAAGTACAGCATATACACAAAAAACAAACATCAGGCTAAGACGCATACAGTGTGTGTACATTTGAGGCAAATTTGACTGGCAGAAGATTCTGGCAATACCATGAAAGAAATGGTTAGTGCCCTTGCCTTACAGCAGGTGGTGTCAGGGGGTGTCCAATTAGTAGATCACGATGTACAAATTGATCGCAAAGGCAATGCGGCTTGATCATAAGGAATAAAAATACATAAAAAAAAATAACAGAGAACATAGAAGGTATACAAAGTTTGTTCAGCCTATGACTAAATCTGGTCTCCACACGTGGCCCTGTAATGGACTGGTTACTGTCCTCACCCAATTACTTTTGGGATTGGCTACAGGCCCCATGTGACCCTACAAACGTCTAAGTAGTAGAGACAGAACTAGAGGTTACTTCTGTTTAGAATTGGCATTCACTTTGCTTAATGTAGTCAATAATCATTTCCACTGCTCCAGGCAATAACAACCTTTTAGCTCGTCCCAAACCCACGTGGCTTGTCCACCACGAATGCACTCATTAAACACAATTTGAATAGTTTTTGCTCAGAAAATATTTAGTCATTTTAGTAGCTAATTGTGTTCATGTTAAGCAAATTGACTTTGTCCAATCAAGTGAATTAACGAATCACTGACTCCGATTTTACTTACAAAAATAAGATTATCAGTCGAATTTAACCTGGACAGCTTCATTATTTCGGTAACCAGCTTTTTTTTAAACCACTTTTATTATCACACAGGCCTTACACAGAGTCAGTAGACAAAAAGTACCTACACATATCTTCTTGATACTGATTGTAAATGTTAGCCTGTGAAGAAATAAATTGTTTATTTGACCCCATTTATTTTGCTCTTTCACCCCTGAATCAAGGTTGGATTACTTTAGGTTCCAGATATACATACATATAAATATATAAATATTTGTGTTGTCTTTGACCTTTGACATATGTTGTAATTTTCTCTGCTTACCAGTGCAAGAGTGATAAAATGTGAGAGCTTAGTATTGTATGACCTATAATGTATGCCAGCTCAACGCTATTACCCCCCCCCAATATATGTGCCCCCCCCCCCCCCCCCCCCCCCCCCCCCCCCCCCGCCTCAAGTCAGTCTACAGCTGGCATACAGCCAGTTTTTAGTCATGTATTAACATCTATCGCGGACATAAATGTGATCAGGCACACAGCGTACTCATGTCTAAGTATAGTGGTGGACTTCAGAAGGACGTCTTGTAATTTTGGGTTACATCCTGATATTTTGAGGGCCATTATAGACACTCGATTTTGCTTCAATGCTTTGAATAAATAAATCAAGACATCCTCATGTGAATGCTAATACAGAGTTGTTTTTGTTGTATGAGCTTGAAGACAAATGAGTCATTTCTAAGGTTTAACTTCCCAGTGAAAGACAGCTCGTGCTATATGAGCCTTGGCCAAGGGCAAACCAGCAATACATTAGACAGAAAAGGGAATTATCTGTTTTTATGGCTACAGGCATTTCAGTGAGCACTTTCACATCAGTGACCTTGCTCATATGTGATTCTCCTACATTTAAACTCGTGCAGAGGAGCCAGATATGTGATTAATTAAGGCAGACTGCTCCGTTTCCATTTTTTCTTTTCCTGTGAAGACTCGGGTGAGGAAAGCATGTTGGCACGGGAGGGATCAAAGTGGTTCTTGGCCAAGGAAGAGCTAAAAGTCCTAAGATATTTGTGGAACGTTCCGGTTATACAAACACAGTACCGATTATGGAAATTAAAAAATGTTTCAATGTGAGTCCAACAAAGGCTTAAACGGTTGAAGCCCTTGATAACCTGTTTTTCTATAACTAATGTGGGCATAATCTGAGTTTATTCCAAGAGATAAACCTCTCTTTTTCTCTCAGTTATCAGTAGTGGCACTGCCACAGAGAGATGAGTTTTCATATTCTGTTCCTCTGAATAACCATCTATGCCTTTTTTAAAATTTGTCACAAGAAAATGACATTAAGAAAAGCTCTGTTCACCAGGTTTGAGGGTTTTTGGTTTTTTTTTTTTCTGTGAAGGATGATGATCATTTTTGGTTGCTTGCAGTAGTGCTTAGCCGGGCCGAACTATGAGGTGGTTGCCTGGCAACAACACAACTAATTTTGTATGCTGGTGTTGCTTTGACAGAAAACCACAGTGTCTTACAATCTGTTGATCATCCCGTTGTCCATTTTTCCTTCAGATTGTTTAGGAAACAAGTTATCCCTACAGCCGGTTGATAATATTTGTCTTTTTGTTTACCACATGCGTTGCATCTCTGAAGCCTAATCAATCATATTTTGCCTATGATTATGCAGTAATTAACATTAATGAATATTTGTAAGCCTTCAGCTTGGAAAGTTGAAACATTGGACTTCTATTCAGTAGCTGAATTGAGATCCCAAAGGTGATGATTATGATGAAGATTTTAATGTGATATTCTTTTAATTCAACAAGCAGACACCATGGACACTCAAATAAAATAAAATAAAATAAAAATCAAACTTTTGACAAGCATTATTTTATTTTATTTTATTTTGTAATCCAGTGGCTGGCCAGATTTGACAGATAGGTAGGATGGATTTGTCCCGCGGGCCACGAGTTGATCGTCACTGGTGTTAAGTTCAAACAACTTCCAGTGTCCTTACAGATTTTAAAGAACTGGAAGCCAGACACAGATATTTTGACTTGATAAAAACAATGAAGATTGCTGTGATTATCAATCAACTTGGTGATTAAGTTCTAAGGTAGCGTAGCTACATCAGATAGCCTTTATTTGAGTCTTTGTAGCAGGAAGACTGTCACTGACTACAGTGTAAAAGAAGCAGTTGGTGACTCTGTGTGTATCAGGTGAAACACATGGTAGTCCACTCTCTCCTGATGTCACCAGTAGGAGTTGGCAGCAATAACACATGTGGCAGACACTGATATTGGCAGAACCACGTAAAAGAAAAATTGGCAGAAGGTGACTTTCTGGGTAAAAATGTTAAACTGTTTGTCATGTTTTCAATGATTCCAGTCCAGTCTTTTGTAACAAAGCTAAACCCATTTTGTAACAAAACCCATTTCCATGTGCCAAAATGTAACTCCATTCACTCTGCTCTCTCCTCTGGCCCATAATGAAATCACCGTGTGACATTCTCAGCTTTAGAATACTTGTTTTGATGCGATCAGTTTGTTTGGACTGATCTTTTTGTTAATTTTTATGTCATATTTTGTTTCCCTCACAGACTGGCAGAAAAGAGAAAGGTGACCCACTGAACTCAGCCATCGATAAAATGACCAAAAAGACCAGGGACCTGCGCAGACAGGTGAGTGAATTTTTAAAAGCTGGATAATTTTTATTTGTTATAAATTGCACAGCTCAGGTTTTAAAACCGTTCCATAAAGGGCTACAGTATACACTTTAAAGGGTGGCTAACTTTAATGCTAGTAAGGTCTGTTTTTTTTTTCTTCCCCTCACATAGTGCCAAATCAGTATAAAACCGTGCCGCTCCAACTGTGGTCATTTCTCAACCGGGGAAATATATAGATTTATGTGTTTATCACCGATCGTCTTCTAAGAGCTAATACACACAACATATACAAAACATGAATTTATCCTACATTAATGTACCACACAAAAATGAGGGGAGAAACAATAATTTATTACAGGCTCTTACTTCCAAAGGTGCAGGTAGAGATAGAGAGCAGTCTGTTTCCTGGGACTTACTGGAAATGTTGAGAAAATTGATAAAATATATTGAGGGAGGGGTGAAATACTAGAGGGAGTGTGAGTGGACTCATCACTCATATCCAGCTGCCTGCTTCATTTTCTACCTCTCTAAATGCAATCCTGGGCATGGCTCGATCCGATACTCAGGAGTTGAGCCCAAATGCTGGTGACACTGTCGCCTCAGCAGTGACAGAAAAGAAGGTATCGGATTGATATATGTATTGGTAGCTACTCCAGGTTGCAGTATTGGCATTGGCCATGAAGAGCTTGTATCGAACCATCCATCCATCCATTAATTTTCATCCGCTTACCGGATCACGGGGGCAGCAGTCTCCATGACCGCCACCCAAATCACACTGCACCTTATCAACCCCCCTGAACCTTCCTGCGGGTGGCGAGTCCACTGGAAGGGACCAACCGCCCCAACCAGGATTCGATCTCCCCCAGAAGGTGACCCCTGGGTTTCCACACCAGTGACAGAGACGTTGCCTCTGGGTCAACGCGCCACGTTGTATCGAACCATCCCTACTTTACACGTTTACAAGTTTACAGTCACAAAACCGTCTGTACTCGTACGAGGTAGTTAGGAACATATACAGAGAGTATTGTGGGGGAGGGAGGGGAGAGAGAGTGAGGGAGCAGTCAGCTGGTCTGATCAGCGCTGTTGCTGTGATAAGCTCAGTAAGTGGGTGTGATTGGTGTCTGATTACTGCATATCTGTGAGTTGATGATTTCAGTCGAGTGAAAGAACAGGTCAGGTGTTGAACCCCCCCCCCACCCACCCGCGCACATCGGCCTGTGATTGCTCAGAGAAAAGAAAGTAACATGTTTGCCAGCTGTGCTCCGTTGGAGTGTCATTACTCCTCCCTTCCTGCCAGATGTTCCTATTTTTGGCACGTGACAACATCACTGTTATGATGACCTGACACTGCAGATCTTGCACTTCATGTCCACGTTAGTAAATGGATCTGCTGGCTTCACTTTTGTTTTGTTTTCTTGTCCTGCAATGGCTGGTGAATGGTTCAGTACACAAAAAGGCGAAAAAAAAAACATTTCGCCTTGGGCAGTCGGTTTAAACCAGGCATGCCCAAACTGTTCCTCAGAGGGCCGTGTGGCTGCAGATTTTTGTTCCAACCAATCAACCAAGAGCACATAGTTTGACCAATCAGCTGTCTGAAGACTTAGACCAGTTGATTAAACCTGTCAACTCAGGTGTGCTACTGTTTGGTTGGAACAAAAACCTGCAGCCCAGTGGCCCTTCGTGGAACAGTTTGGGCGCCCCTGGTTTAAACGGATATAAAAATCAGCATTTTGTCTAGTTTTTAATTAATCACACCATAGATAATAGACATAAACGAGCCACAGGATGGGACTCCAAGCCTTTATGTGTCTAGGTTCTGGACAGACAAACTCACTCCAGCTCCACAGGTACAATGTCAATACAATACAAACAACATAATTTTATACAATCGGATATTGATGTATGTGACTCCTTTGATTCAGACGAAATATATATATATATATATATACACATATATATATGTTATATATATATGCTATTTGCTGTCTTGTAAACCAGAGGAAACAAACTAAAGTGTGGACTCATCCACATGAAAAGAATGTTTTAAGGTGTGCTTTTTTTCTTATGATAACCCTATTTCTTTTAAATAAAATAATAGTAATTTTGGACATAACAGATTTTGGCTTTGCCATGTGAAAGCAATTCATTTACACTGCATTTTGCAGTAGCCTCTGACAAACAATACTGCAATATTCCTTTAATAATATCTAAAACAACAGAATGTCAGTGGAATATGACTTTCTTCAAACCACACTTTAATGTTATTGTCAAAACATAAATATGATAAGAGGAGAAGAAGTCCTTTATTCGTCCCACGGTGGGGAGATTCACAGCAGTGGAGTACAGTAGAGGGTTTAAAGAAGTAAAGTGAGAGATATCAATTAAATATCAAATAATATCACTACAATTGTATTTATTTATTTTTCAGTGCTTTACTTATTCCTTAAGGGACACCACTCTGCATGTGATCAATCAGTGAAACACCCCAGTGATTAACACCTGACACACAGGAGCTGCACTGGAATTCTTCTTGATGCTTACTCAACAGCTTCACTGATCTCTGCTGAGATTCCACTTTACCCACTGGGCCACATCATAGACTTCTATAGTCATTAGATTCTCCTGACTTTGATTTTAGAGTTTGACTGCTAACCTTTCAGGATATTTACCCTGAAACTATGTCCACCAGGGACGATGTGCAGAGATGACCCGTGGTGGTGTCCTCTCTGACCTCTGAAGGCCAGACAATCATTTCAGATGGGATGCTGTAACCCTGCCTCCCAGTAGGCAGTTGGTGGGGCTGCTGTCATACTGGCAGGCAGTGTTCACACTGACAGGATGTTGTATTGACTCATGGCTTGGCTTGACAGAAAGGGAGGTCTGTTTGAGCATTTTGTGCTCAACGGGAGGGCAAAGCCCTTGCACACATGTTCCATTACACGCTGCTACAATACCATAATATGCAAACACAAATTGAGTTCGGCAACTCAGCGGCGCCGCATACAGGCACAAGGCCTTCACGTAGTTGGCAGGAAAATTGTGCACTTTCTGTCTCCTCTCTCCTGTGAAGCAGAGGAGATAAATATTAGAGCAGTTTCATGTGTCAGAGAACAGACAGCCCCTGTGAAATGGAGCACCTAAGACTGAAACAAGACTTTTGACAACACTGTAAAACAAGGCTGACTTTTTTTTTCCCCTCCCTCTCTGAGGATGTCATATATATACATACAACACAATGTGTGCCTGTCTGCCATCGCCTGGCAACCTCTGTACATGCCAAATATGTCATTCTGCCTTTGTTTCCACCGTGATTTTTTCGCAGTGTTTCTCAGTCTTATTGCGGGTACTTGTGAATGGACATTACACTGAAATATTTAAAATCTGAAAAGCAGTATTAGCTTCTCCATCTATTCACTGGTTTGTGTTTCTATTGAGGTATTTATTATTATTTGCTGGCAACATGCTACCCACCCACTGCTGACTGTACCAGCACTGTGCCTACTTCATCAGGCTTCTCTGTGCTTCTCTCCAGGTTTGTCAACCCTTCGTTTGACATAACCAGTCCAGGCCGGTCGTGCCTGCATTAGTGGTTTTCATTAATGCATTAAAGGGTACAACGTTGGAATTAAGGCTGTCTCACTTAATGCACAAGTACATGACCTTGTTCCTCTCTCTGCGAAAAGCACATCTCTGGTGTGTACTCCAGTGATTATGTGGGTCTCTTGAAACCCTGAGATTGAAATAACAGATTCATGAGAGTGGATTATGGATCTTTGTTAAAGTGCCATTTCAAACGAGAAGTATTTTTCTCAGATTCTAAGTCTAGACATTTAGATGAAGGAACTTCTGGGTGGAACTTTATAAGGGATCTCAAACAGATGTGAACATTTTGTTGGTAATTTTATCATTAGAACAAAATTAAATAAACATTTGTGCAGGTTTATTTTTTTATTATTTATTAAAACAATGAACAGCTGCAGCAGCTTTTATCTGCTCAGGACATTGTTTTTTTAAATATATTTTTTATGTCTAAAAGTACGCCTTACTCGCCAGGCATTTAAACTCATGTCCACCTTGGGATAACATCCATTTTAAATGTGACATTCAGGAGCCTGTCTTCCTTTTAATTAGTATTCACTTTGAAACCAGTATGATAAAGTTGCTGGAAATAAGCCATGTGTTCTGCCATCCTGTCTGTAATGAATGCATCTGTCAGTTCAACTCTCAGGGCCCTGTTCTGACTGATGGCTGATTCCTGGGTTCCCCATAGCAAAGGTTTCTCATAAATTCTTCTTTGCCTCTCTTTATGCTCCAGGTTCTTGGATTAACTTCCATGTCTGCCACTGGCTTGTTGATCGGTGCAGCTGTTTATAATTGTTGAGGGGTTATCAAGTTAGGGAGCAACATCTGCCATATGTCTCGTCAGCTGCAGCACTGGTGTCATAACTAATGTTTCAGGAAAGTAGAGGAAAAATTTAAGTATATCAAATGAAATGATTTCAGGCCATTCATTAAAATTTGCTTAATTGTATAAATGTCACTAATGTGAGAAATTCAATAAAATATAGCTATATACCAGATTTATGGCTAGTGCAGGTAAAGATGGAGTTAATACAAAACACTGACATAGAAATATAAATCATCTGTTCAACTGAATAATAGATACAGCCTCAGAAAATGATCATTAAATGCTAAAATAAATTAACATTTACAGCTTGCATTTCAGTATTTACATCGCAGTAATAGTGGGAATATAAGTCTTCTAACCTTAAAACATCACTAAAGTTTCTAAGTTTAACTTGATATTATATATTTTTAAGGATCTGGCTTCAATGTTTCTTGAATAGACACAAAGAAGTGAAATGATATGACCCACATTGAAACGAGTCAAATGTGCTTGAAAAACAAACTTAGCATATCACTGACTCAGTGGCTGCCCCGAGCCCCTGTTTCTCTGCAACATGAAAGTCTAGTCTGAGAGTCATGGGAAACATCCACACCTGAAGTGAGTTTTTTATGTGCAGTCTACTTGTAAATTGCCAGAGTTCTTTATTAGAATAAAGGTTGGATATCCAGCAAAATCATCCAAAACCCAGCTGTTATTTTTACATCATATCCTTGTGACCCCCCCCCCCCAAAAAAAAAAAAACAAACACACTGTATAGAGGGATGTCCAATGTTACATTTTTGCCGATATGCCGATATTGTCCAAACACTTAATTTCAACCAATACCGATATAGTCCTGGGAATATTTATTTATCTGTACAAACCACTGTATGAGTTGCTGGCACCAGCATTCTGCATAAAATCCCCTGAATGCCAAGATACATTAATAAAATGAGCTGTAATGCTGCCATCTAGTGACTTTTACAGTCATATACAACCGTTTTTCCCTAAAACTATTTTTAGGACAGACATCATTGGCGAAACACAGGCATTACATTATCGGTTTTAATTATCATCGAAAAAAAACAATAACGATTCTTACAGATATTACATAACTGTGCTAATATCGGTTTGATACTATCGGTCGGACATCCTTTTTTCTTTTTCTTCCATCAGATTATGTTGAGTACACATAATACATCCATTTCTGTAGTTATCTGGCTTTGCATCCACGATAAATGTTTTGGAAAAATTAAAATATGAACGTACACCAAGGACTGCAATTAAATAGGAGAGCGGTGTTTCCTTGGCTTGTGTACACGCCGGTGTGTGTTAGGGACATGTTATGCCTGCAGTCACTCAGCCCCTCACTTACTCCTCCAATATTCTCCACCCTGAAGGTGAAGAGTCTCCACTGAGAGTTGCCTCACTGATGAATGACTGCACACTGAATGGTCCGCTAACTGCAAATTTATACTGTCTGATAATCCAAGGCTCTTGGCCTACAGAGTCAGGCCTCTGGCTGCCAACCCACACACACTGAAGTGGCTTGTCCTCACCAGACTTGGAGGCATTTTTATTCGTACCTCGGAGCGTCTTAATATCCAACTTGCATATAACGTAATGTGAGAGAACTGAAATAATTTTAGGAGTTTTTTTTTAATGTTGTTGTTTTTAATCAAACCCACTCGGTCTTTAGTATCATCTTCTTGCTTCTCATCAAATATTGCATTGCAAGTCAATGTTTTTTTCAAGTCTGGACCCCGGTCCTCCTGCTGTGAGTGCTCTTGACATTTTCTTGACAGTTGCTCTGCCGACCCCAAGGTACACGCTGCTATTTAGGCTGAATCAACAGTGAATCATAATAGTAGAACCTGAAATGCAACTGTGAACATTAAGAACTCTGACAGCGTTCCATTAAAATCAAGACTTTTTTGTGTTTTCCTGCTCTTGTGTGTGTTTAAAGGAAAAACAATTCAAAAGTGCAGACTTTGACTCAATGTATGTAACATACACTCTATATCTATAATATTTGTCTTTAGTCTACAAATATTCATTTTTTTGTTTTTGAAAATATATTGTTATAAATTGAATTATTAAAAAACTACTTACAAAATCGTATTAATTTTCCAAAGTTAGATTGCTGCCCCAATTTCCTTCAGCGCTGATGTTTTTACACCGTGTACTTGGTCATTTTTAGCACAAATGAGTGGAGTTTTTATTCTCCATTGCAGCTAATTATTATCCACCATGGATTTATACTTTATATAATAAACAGAGAAAAAAGACAGTTTTGTTATTGACAAGTCTTTCAAGTTATTAAATATATTAAAAAAATGCAATTTCAAAATGTTTATTTAAGTTTAACTTTATTTACAACATACGTATCCTATACAGGTTGTTTTTAATTTTTATTTTCCAAGCACATTTTTTCAAATCCATTGTTATATATTTTAATTCACTACTGTATATAAGACGGCAGCGTCGGCTGACTGCAATTCTTCACTTGTATAATATCTCCTTTGCCAATTTGCTCACAGCCTGTATGTGAAATCTATACCTGCTGCAGAATCTTAAAATGGCACCAACAGCTGTATCTCTATTCATTTCTGCCTCCTAACAAACCACATGTAAAATGGCATTACACTCAGAGTTGGAACCCCAGTGCACCGTGGGAGTGGAGCAGTCGCCCTTTCAACTTGTAATGAGCAGAGCCTTTGCTATCTGCTGGAATTCCTGGTCTAATTTCCTTTAAGTGTTAGTGAAATACAGAGAGAGTGTTAGAGGGTAAAGGGTGGGGGTGCAGAGCGGAGGGAGGGAGATCTAAAAGATTGAAGATGGATTTCTGTGGGAGTGGTGTGTAGGCATTAGAATGCTGATGGTGCAGGAGAGACTGCGACTTGGGAAATCGCTCGTCTGTATCATCCCTCTGCTCAAACCCACCGTCAGTATCACTTTCACTGCTGGGCATTCATCAGTGGCCCAACGCCCAGACCTCTTACACATATCCTGTCTCTATGTGTCTGCATGTGAAATCAACTGGTGATTACTCCTGAGCAACAAATGCAACCATTTTTTTCTTAGCAGATGTATTAAAGTGACTCGTACACATCCTGGTACCAGCAGCTATTTCTATTTCCTTTTTCTTTTTTTAATCTTTACGACCAACCTGAGTGAAGTGCCAGTGACTACAGGGTCTTAAAATCCTACTGTTGAATCACATCCTCCCACGATTTAGAGCTAGCATCAAAAAAGCAGACTAGTACAGGAGTGGTACCTGGTACAATATTGTTTATTTACTGCAGACGTCAAACGGTGAGAGAATCATTCCCATTTGGTCGTACCATTACATTTACACTTTACATTAGAGCTGAAGCATACAAGATATAAGATGGTACATAACTGACACGTTCAAAAAATACCAGTCAATCACTGCTACTGTTACAGTTCTTCAGTTCTGACGCTATCATTCAGTACGGATACTGAAGTGTTCTTTGCAGATGAACGGATGGACGAAGAACACTGACGCAGGTTTGTTTTCTGGAAAAGAAAGAAAGAAAAAACAATATTCACAACTCACAGAGTTCGTATTGATTTCTTAAAATCAATGACCCGGGATAATAGTGTTCTGGACAATGGAGGGGAAGATGTTTACAGCATTTGTAGCCTCTGCTTTTCCCCTGCACCGGTCAAATCCATTATTTGTCCAGAGGCAATAATGAAAAATGTTCTACTTTTTGGAATTCAAAATCCACCATCCATCCACATTACTCTACAGATTATTAATAACAGAATATTTATTCATTGACTTTGTTGAATTAACCCCCCTTTGACTTTTCCATCTATCGGTCTTTTAATTGACTCCTTGCTGCTTTAATATTGGTTTTCTAGGAATAGAGTCCAAAGGTGTGAGGTTTTAAAATTAAATATGCGTCCAAAGTGTTGTTAATTAAACACGGTTTTATTGAATAGTATAATTTGTAAGAAAAACAGAACTTGAATCTAGACATTTTGCAATATACCGTAGCATTACCGTCTGCCCACAAAGTACCTCTTTTAATTTGTGTGAACTTTGAACCACTTGTAAGGTTAATTTATTTGGAGTATTTAATAGACGACCTCACAACCTCTGTTCCTATTAACATTACACTATTCTTTCAATTAATTGTCCACTTACAGCTGTGTTTATGTTGCAATTACTGCCCAATAACGCAGTTAAGATATATGATCGTGTAGTCTGGAAAATTACCACAAATATATTGTACAGTAATTAAATGATAATGCTACATGGGAGGGCATGTACTTATTTCCCAATGGTGTATTTTTGTCTCCTTCAGTGTTGCCGTCCTCTGAAGGACTCTGTGTGTGTAAGACGTAGTAGTTGTGTACTGCAGTTTCTATTGACTGCCCTCTGGCATTTCAGCAGATGTCCCAGTGAGTAGCAGGGCTTAGTGTCCATTCACTGTTTAGTAAGACGTCCAGTCCCATGGCCGGTTGGGACAAATTATCCCATAACCCCCAGCAATAAAGGCCTTAAGGAAAAAAAATGGCAGAATTCAAGCATTCAAGAATTCTTGAATTTTTTTCTTCAATGCCGATCCTGAAACTCAGATCGAGCAATCCCCTAATTGCTACTAATAATGTTGTCCCCTAATCATGTGTGTGTTTGTGTTTGTTTCAGCTGAGGAAGGCAGTGATGGACCACATTTCAGACTCTTTCCTGGAGACCAACGTCCCACTCCTGGTGCTCATTGAAGCGGCAAAGAGCGGAAATGAGAAGGAGGTCAAGGAGTATGCCCAGGTGTTCCGTGAACATGCCAACAAACTGGTTGAGGTTGGTCATAAATTATTCATAAGAACGCATGCACACGCACTCCCACACAATAAGGTCTTCTTTTACGAACTGCTATTGAAGACCCAGTTTCTACCAAATGAAGGCCAGCAGCTTTGTTGGATACAGTCATTTGTCCTAGTACTCTGGACATAGGAAATTATATACGTATACATATGCAAAGTGAGAGGAGAGACCATTCTAAGAGATTTCACAGAGGAGTAAAATAAATTTAATAATTTATATAAACTTATAGCAAATTAAAGTCGATCAAGTACTGAATATTCTTATTTTCAGAACTACAGAATACTACAGAATTACATTTTCAGTAGAATATCATCAAATGTACTGCAAATACCTCTTGTCTTCAATATATATTTAACAACATATTGAGCATGCAGAGTTCCTGGGCTATTGCCATGTATGTGTTTAATATGTTTTTAATAGATTTTACATAAAGAGAGCAGGATGTTTTTGGTAGCTTGGTTGTTAACCTTCCTCCATAGATAAAAACATCTGCTAAATCCATACATGAAAATGTCAATATTACACAAAGCTATTCAAACAACAAACACATTTATATATGTATGCTTTCATTTTGAACATCTACTAATTCTATATATAACTAAACATTTTCATGACCTCTTCTGAAGTACATGCAGGGCTGCCTAAGGGTCACGAACCCCCAGTTTCTTTTGGCAATACAAAAGTTGGACACCTTTAAAAGGAAACAAAGTATGAAATGTATATTATCTTTTAATGTTGAGCTGTAGGGGTAATTTCCTTTGATCATTTCTTCTATGATCTGTGGTGGGAGTTGGCCTTTTTTTCTTATTTCAAATTCAAATGAGCCTTTGTTGCCCTCGCTCCGGCTGCTCTTTACTTGTTGTTGCTAAAAACAGCGGCGTGGCTCCCTCTGACATCAGCTGAGAGAGTGAGTGATTTCTGTGCCCTTTTAGTGTGTCCCAGCTGTTTGCTGATGAGGGAGGATGTGACTGATGCGTCACGCAGAAGCCGTCTTCTGCATTCAGCCGTGTCGGGACTTTGTTTGGCCCAGTGATGTGCTGGGCAAATGGGAAAAGAAATTAAAAGTGATACGATTGTGTTTCTTTGGAAATTTAGATTTTAAGAATGTGGGAACACTGACAAACGCATTTGTTTGTATGGATGTGGAGCGGAAGACTGAGTCTTTGCAGGAAATAGCTCATTGGCTTTGGAATGGGTTTATCAAAAGCTCTTGTATGTGCAGTGTTTGTCAACAGATTGTTTCCCTCACTTGTAAAGAACACAGACTGATTTATCGTTTTTTAACGTCACAAATACAGACAATAGAATAAATGTGCATTATTGTGTTGTCACCATGGGTTCTAGTACCCACCCCAAAAGAAATACCTCAAACTAACAAAGTGACCTGCAATTTCCCCTATCTAGACTAGGTACCAGCACGTGGTAATATGACATATTGACAAAATACCAGCAAAACTATGAAAAGTACCACCAAATACTGACACATTCACTCAGCCAAAGGTTAATTCCTTGAGGTGCATAGGCCATAAATCAATAATGATGCATTAGAGGAGACATGTTGCTGATACAGCTTTTTATTGTCCACGGCCCTGCAGGGTTAAACTGGCTCATCGTACTCTCACGGGCAGGTCAGCACGTACATGTAAATGTAACTTTCATCAGATAATAAGGTCCTTTGTCAACATGTCTTGCATGAAAACCCCAGCCATTTAATGCTACCAAACTAATGATAAGTGTTGCCATGTGACACTGAATGGTTTACATTGTGTTTGGACAAAAAAAAAAAAATATTATTATTATTTTTTTTTATCCTGTTTGGTGCTGTTTGTGTAGCTTCAAAGACTTGTCCCAAGTCATCAGAACAGCGACTCTAGTTCTCTTGAGTGCATGTCTCAATGACTTGAGTTCCCATCTCTGGACTTTACACTAACTGGAAAAAAAAAGAAAATTATTAGTTGTTTCTTCATCTTTACAATACACATATGGGTTTTTTATGGTACATTTTTGCATTTTATCATACAAGAAAAAGGGCTATGTTTAAAGGTTACAGAAACAATACAAAACTGAGTTAGATTGAGTGAGATTAAATGATAGTGAATACAATTAATTAGTAGAAATGATCCAATCATGGGGTCCTGATGAACTGGCCCCAGTCCAATGTAAAAATGTCAAATGTAGGCACTTTTTCTATTCCCGTTGCCTATGGTGACAATGTTCATTACTCTTTCTCACAGCGTAGACAGCTGAAGCACTCGAGGCATTTCTGTATACTAAGCCATTTCATTCTTAGTGCTGTCATTATCATTACTTGCCTTATCAAAGACACAGTCATTATAAGTGCAACCTTCAAGATTCTCTCATATATTAGACTAATTAACATTCTGATCAGTCTCTACAGTCGTTTCCCCCAGTGTTAGGGTGGAGCTCTGTTAAAACAGAATATTAATTCACTCCTAAAAAAACAGTTTATCATACTTGATTGGTTTCAATTGGACTGTGTTTATTTGAGTCACTCTTTTTTTACCTGCTCTAATATTCCCCTTGAATCTACTCAGTGTACTTAAGCTAAAAACTGAAACATTTTTTACTCAGGGCTTTGCCACAAATCACCATTTTACCACGTTGTCCGTGACAGGAGAGTAGTCATTTCAAACAGGATTCATTATCGACTCAGTACCATTAAATGACCCTTTAAATTAAAAGCAAATATTCTCAGTGGCTTTAAGATTTCTCATTTCAAATAAATTATCCATATAAACATACTGCATCATTACTGTATTTTTCAGTGAGTACTCTCACTCGACCCATTATTCATACAAAGACTAATCTAATAGAGGGTATTGGCAAGCAAAATAACGGAACTCTGGACATCACGCAAAATTAAGTCAGTGAGTACCAGGGAGTTAATCTTCAGGTTTCAGGGTCAATTTTTCAATGTATATATAAATAAAACTTTGAAATATCTCCTGATGTTACTATTGATATGTGTAGAGTCTAGGGTCAGGGCTTTTTTTTGTGGATTGTGGATAATCATTAGAGCGGTAATTGTAACCAACACTGAGTTGGTTGACAGACTGCATCAGTCAACATTATTCTCTGTCCCACTGCGTTAGGCTCTTTACCAGACAGTTGACTGGGGTGTGGATGGATCACCAGTGGGGCAGATCTATTTGTGATGACAAAAACCTTTAGGCCAACATTAATCTGACTTCCTTTTCATAGAAAATATTAGCCTTAAAGAAAATCAGCATTTAGAGGATGCAATAACAGACAATTGTCGAAGAGATAAATCACAGCTGATGGGACACTGAGTTGGACACAATTTTTATTGCCATCAGCCCCCCCTCTATATTTTTCATTCAGTTACACTTAGACCTCTGATTCAATGCAGCGGGGGTTAGCAGAGGTCAAAGGAAAAGGAAGTTGTTCTTTAGCCAAGAACTGTTGGGACTGTTGAATTTATCTTAAAAATTATTCTCCTTTAAAACATCTGTACATTTGATGGGATTTGATCCAACTTCAGACCAACAAAGTTTCTATCACCACAAGTAAAAAAAAAAACAAGTATTGAAGTGGTTATGGAAAGATGACACCTAAAAAATCAATTAAAAACACAGTCTATAAAAGGCATGTCCAAACTGTTACTCAAAAAGGAGTGTTGCTGCAGTTTTTTCCAACCAACCAATAGTAGCACACCGTTTGACCAATCAGCTGTCAGAAGACTGATCAGTCGATTAAATGTGTTAATTCAAAAGTTAACAGTGATACTTCTCACTATACAGAGCATCTTGCCTTTGACCCTAATGATTTCTCACCATGTCAGTCACAGTACACCTACAGCGCCACCAAATGATCCCAGAAAATGACCATCAGCCAGAGTCACCCACACGAGGCTACGAGATATTTTTAATAGACGGAGACAACGTTGTGTCAAAGAGTCTGATTTCCTTCACACTGCAGAGAGGAAACTCGCTCGTGTGATAATGAATGGATGGAGACTAAAATGCCCGAGGCTCTTTTATGACGTTAGCAGTGGAAGTTACATTTTCTGTCTGCAGTGGCAAACATGTGGTGCAGCTCAAAGCCTTCTTCAGCGAGGCACAGTTAAAGACAAGAGGACTGGAAAACCTGTTTTATATCTGTTTTTTGGCTTGGGCTCTATATTGAAAATGTTAAATATATATTTACTCATGTAAACAGAACATATGTTTGTGTTATATGTTGTGATCGACAAATCGATTCTTCTGCTATTGCCCTAAAATGCACACATTTGCAATTACAGTTAAAATCTCTATTTCTTGCAAACAGCCTTAGCAACAAATCAGAATTACCTTGCACTCAGTTCATATGCAGTCCATAGATGGAGTAAGGGACTATTTTAGTTCGTTATTTTAGTTGCACTAATTGTGGCGATGCGCACATTTGCCTCTCAGTGTCTATGTTAATTTTTCTGCTTCTTGGTCCTTGTGTCTGAGAGGGAATTGGTCATCAATTATTTTCTAAAGAATACAGCTGTGCCTCAGGATGCAATCAACCAATCTTTTAGCCACGAGCTGACATTTATATTCTTTGTTTAACGTCCACAATGTCCTGAAAAGGGGACGAGGGAGATAAACAGATGGAAATTGCGGCATCATCAAGCATACATTCACAAAAGACTGCCCCCGGCCTTTGCCTGCAGGCTTAGGGGAATGAACTCAAGGGTCCATTATATTCAAAGACCGCATAAACCAGTGGCAACAGTTGTGTGACACAATCCACCAAACCGTACCGCAAGTAAATGGTTGCAAAAATAAGCTTAGCTGAGTGACAAACACCGACATCAGCAGACTCACTCAGAGCCTGAATAACTTCTATGAAGGTGCAACACACGACAAGCAGCAGTGAAAAGCCCGCTTTGCAGATATGACACTGAGTGGATTACACCAGATTAAATGTGACAACAGTAAAGGCAACAGAGGACTGAGGCTTGACAT